CCTGCTAGTATATAGTAAGGTATGAGTCAGCAGATTTTAATGGTGCCTAATAACATTTTATGTCATGGATATAGATAATTAAAGAAAAGCACAAGAATAAGAACAGATAATGAGTATTGAGTACTGCAGGTGGCACAAAAATCACCTTATCAACGCATTATGCTTGACGTCTCGGAAATTTTTTCCACATGTAATGTGTTCTTTTACCACACTCGCCAGCCGAAAGGGACACAAACGTGTGGCAAGTCGTCTGAGAGCTAAAATTTTGTCGATTTTCATTGTCAATACAGCTGCCATATGAGATGCAAAACATATTGCATAATTGTCAGCTATAACGCTATTGTAACGCTATTGTAATGCTATTGTAACGCTATTGTAACGCTATTGTAACGCTATTGTAACGCTATTAGTGTAATTCCTATCTGTCTCGGCAGTTATAAAGTTTCGTGGTCAAATTAAACCTCTTATATATTTCAGATAGAGCTGCTGTGATAAATGACCTTGCATATTACTGACGATATGTAAAAACCATTGGCCGATTTAAAAAAACTTAAATTATTTTGCTTCCTTAGAGTTTTGTCGGCACTATACCGAAAAAACCAGTCCTATAAATATTACAATTTTCTTGATTAAGTCATTCGTAAATTATTATAACGCTCATCAAACACTGTTCATTTTCAATGATATAGTAAATATCGGGTTGCACAGTGTATTACCACAATCTTATATCAAACGCCTGATTGACGACAAAGTCACCCAACTAAACCAAATGCCACCACCATAAGAAACCCTTAAGGGGGCATACACCAAAACAGTGGTTTGTGCCGTCCAGACCAAATGACCTCATAGGCAGTTCAGTGACCTTCTAGCGCACCGTTTCCACACCAAAAAAAATCATTTTGAGAATACCTATTTTTGTAATCGAGCATTTCCTGGTTAAGAGTGCAATTTTCGGAAAAAATAATTTGTTGGTCGAGACGCTATAAGTTAATCATTTATTGTGGTATCGGGTTGAAATTTTGCTCGCCGTTTATTCACATCTATTTCAAGGTTTGTGTAAAATCCTGATATCGTATCTAAAAAGCCTGGTGTGTACGTTATACATTTTTTAAGTCAAAAAGCTAAAATTGTCCTTTTCAGGCTTATTTTAACAAAAAGTCAGTCAGGGAAGATCGGATTGATTTGATGGTTGACATCAAATTGTTCTCTGAATTCTAGCGCAGTTTTTGATGCCCTCAAAAATGTTTTTACTCATTTGTCTTCAGATCTATTGGACCTCAAAGCCAAAATTTAGGCACATTTTTCGTTTTTAATATTTACTGATTTTTCTAAAATTTTGATAGGAATGTGCTAGTGACTTTTTGAAAAATAACCGCAACTAGCACATTTATATATGAGTTATGAACAGCAAAACACCCTAAAATTCTTCCCTTTGAAGTTATGGGAGAAAATGTGATTTTTTGGATTTGCAGATAAAAAATCACATTTTATTTATTAAGTTATCAAATCAGGTATTTCTTAAATGTATGACTAATGACCGTGTTTGCGAATTACGATTAATATATTGTATGCCATATTTTTAATATGGCATACAATAACGCCTGATTGACGACAAAGTCACCCAACTAAACCAAATGCCACCACCATAAGAAACCCTTAAGGGGGCATACACCAAAACAGTGGTTTGTGCCGTCCAGACCAAATGACCTCATAGGCAGTTCAGTGATTAATATATTGTATGCCATATTTTTAATAATACATATGGCATAAAATATATATTAATCGCAATTAATTAATACTACCTGATGGGACTTTATTTGAACGGACATTAATTGGACGCTGGAGGCCCTAACGTTCATTTTAATGTCCGTTCAAATAAAGTCTGACAAAGTAGTCAAATTAAATACATTAAATGAATGCCTTCGATTGCCTTCGATTGTTCATTTTAATGTCCGTTCAAAATTATGTCCGTTCACGTATAAATGTCCGGTCAAATAAGGTCCAATAAGGTATTACCTATGTATTATTGATATTGAAGCGTTCATTGTGGTACCCTCCCAGGGTTTTACAACAAAATGGTTAGGTGGATTAATGGTTAAGTGGGGTATATGGTACTATGGCGGAAGTCACTTAATGGGCGAAGGTCACGAGGGCGAAAGTTTCCTAAAAGGTTGGACACGGGGGCGAAGGACACATGGGAGAAAGTCTATCACACGACACAAGGGTGGAAGTTTCCTAAAACGATCATAAGACTCACTTTATCATGGAACCATTTACCATACACCGTCCTAAATGTTGAACTAGTAATAACACGTGATGTGACCCGTGCGTTCACCTTATTACTCGTAACATTACTCGTAACATGACATTACAGAGCATGCTATCCGAGCCCGATGACGTGCTTCGGCGTGTGAAGTCTTGGTAAAATTTGATGACACTAATTTTCGGATGCAAGTAGATTAAGACAGCATAAAGTCAAGTATGCTGAGACAATAGTGAGTGGACCCAAGTATAAAAGCAATATAGCAGGGTCGGACAAGTACAGGTCACAAATTAAATGACTTAAAAAACTGTCAAGACCCTGTTACAAACATACTAGAATATCCTACGAATAAATTGAAAGAGATTTAATGAAATTCTGCGGGTTTTAAAGAGAATAACGCGGTTAACGATAACAAAAGCTTTAACTAAATATCAATATGGAGTTATTGGAGATTATGTTCATCAATCGCGCTTCACGAATATTCTCGACTATACTGTAATATACACATGGATCAGGATGGTAGTATGTTTACAGCGAAATCCAAAATGGCTATTGCTGAACAAATAGGAAAATATTCAAAACAATCTGTTAGTAACATATTTATTAATGATTTCAATCAGCGTTCAAAAATACATCGATTCAAGTTGGTTTCATATCAATTGTCGGGACTCTTTTAAAAAATTTTGAAGTTTGAGTTTCAACTTTAAAGTGATTTAGCACGCTCGAAAATTTTTAAGTCCTTTAGATCTTTTGCTACCATATTATCAATATATATAATAACTCGAATCAGACCAACAGTGTCTTACTAAGACATTTAGGAATAAAGATTAACGAGAAACACGTAGGAGAGAAACATATCAACATTCTGGGTAAAACTCACAAATTGCAGTTGCCTAGCCACAAATCAAATATCGGCCCAAATAATGTGATGAACTGTAAAAAATTCTTCTTGATTAAATTTGTGTCATTCGACAAACTACCAGCCACGTAGCCAGCAATGAGGCAGAGCAGGCTAAGCCTCCCTGACAACAGCCTTGCCTACCCTAAGATTATTTCCGAAAAAGCTATGTTAACATATGTCTCTATGGCTATTTATGTGCCTAGGATGCCGGATAATGTGGCAAAATGCTTCAATTTCCTCAACAAATTTTCGAAGGAACAACCTCCTAGATTTCAGCGGGGTGTTGCTTGCCCTGGCAGATAATCCTGGCTACGTGCCTGCAAACTACTGAGTTGATTGTTAAAGTCATACTGTTATAGGATCTTGCTAACTTCAAACTACTATTATTCAATTTATTTTCAGAACTAACTACAATCCTCACCAACTATCCAAATATGTATTTGATAATGACACGATAAAATGTTCTAGTTAACGAAATTTAGGCTAAATAATTAATATAGCACCTATTACATCTCAGGCTGTCGACTTCTTGATAAGAAATGGGTATTTGGTATGATTGTAACACATAACGTTTCCTCCTCGCCTCTACTTCTTGCCAGTATATTAAAGTCACTATTGTGACGGTACATTAGAACTAGACAGACACAAAGTGTGAAGGGCCTGAACGGAACCCCTCGGTTTCAGTCCCTTGTTTAACACTGCCGTACAGCAAGGACATTTGCCGGGTTCTCCAAGGATGGGCACATAGCTCACTCCACACTATGCTCTGTCAAATGTTGATTATATACCAAGGATCTACAGGAAATATTTCCTTGTAAGTTTAGAGGGCGATCTGTGAACAGACAACTACCTCATTCCCAACTATAGGAACCAGAATTACTATATTATACCAACAAGCTACACCAAGCATAGTTTCAGATGAGAACAGCCGCGATAAATCAGCAGGCTAGGTACTCTTGATTATATATTAAAGTCACTATTGTGACGATACATTAGAACTAGACAGAAACAAAGTGTGAAGGGCCTAAACGAAACCCCTCGGTTTCAGTCCCTTGTTTAACACTGCCGTACAGCAAGGACATTCGCCGGGTTCTCGGCAACTTGGTAATATACTGACGATTGGTAATATACTGACGATTGGTAATATACTGACGATTGTCGATTATGTGTTTAACTAGGGAGTAGCCTAGAATCTTTGCGTGTGGCTACAATGTCAATACGTACATTACTTATGATGGTGCATTGTTGCTAGCGAACTTGTTACAAGGAGAGTTGGCAATTAACTCATTGTTGTACTGGAAGCTGTAGAAGGTCATATAATGATCATTCTGTTTTGCAAGGTGTAGAGATAGTCAATATATTACGTCTTCGCTCCCAACAGACTGGGAAGTATTGAACATTCTGCCAATCTGCCATGACGCGATGCAGTGACCATGCAGTACATGCACTTCTCAGAAAACTGTAGAATAATGCGAATCAATCCATAAATCTACCGCTGGAGAATCGTAAATTTCATGGTTTATTGTACTGTAGTATTATAAGTGACAGTGAATATTAGTTTTACTGATATATTAAGATTCTTTAGTCTTATTAGCTTGTTTGTCATATTAACTTGTTTTATATGATTAATTGAGGAGCACTACCCAGAGGCATTACTCGGCACTAACGCCTTAAAATCTTTAATTACAATCAAATATAAATATATGCACACAATGTATAAAATATGATTACGCTATTAGGAAATTTAAATAGTACTATAATTAATATGGTTATATTAGTGGTGATGAGAATTGGATTAAGATAAGTTCAGACTTTAGACGAAATAAACAACTTTTTCAGTGAATTTGATTCAAAATCGAAAGGAAATAGACATAAAAATTCATATTCGGGATAAATCAACTGCAGATAATAACCTGACAAAAAATTACTAAATTAGAGTAGAAATGATTTTAACGAAAATTACGAAGTCTAATTAGAAATATGGTCAAACAGTATAAAACTATAAAGTATGCAATCATTGCGAGAGTTTACATGTTAAAATGTAATTATCATTCAAATCTTGGATAAAAACAGTAACTAAGAATCTAAAAAACTAAATAACTAAATACAAAACTAAAGTATCTGACCATGTAAAAATAATTATATACTAAAATATTTTTTGTTCTGTTTGGTTGACGAGCAAACTTGCCTCAAGTCCAAAATTAATAAGTTAAAAACAATTGCAGTTCAACTAACAACATATCAGTATGACACGTCCTTCAAACTTAAAGTCTGGTAATTGTGGCACTGCCGCTAGCCGGAGACATAGCCTTAATTTCTGGATCATCAATAATATCATAAACGTTCTCATTTTCATAAATCGCACTGCCAATGCTATCTTGGTGTTCAAGTTTTTTAGCTTCCTCCTCAATTTTGGCCTGAGCCTGGGCTCTGCTAGTACGTCGGTTAGCACGTGGAGCCGCTCCTGGGTTAAGTGAAGCCGAGGGTGGGGCAGGCTTGGCAGCGGCCGGTGCTGGAGCGGGAGTTGCAGGGACCACACTCTGAAAAAGTTCAATATTCAGATTTCAGTCAATGTTGATAAAGCTCAAAATTAAATATTGTTTTTATTAGAATTGACACCCAACTACTACTGAACTACAGACCTAACTTTACTAAACTTCAAGTTGTTATACAGAAATAGATTTTAGAATTAAAATTAAAAATTAGTGGCTTACAAAATAAGGTGTGGTCTGTACTCTGTTGAGACATCCACAACTAGTAATTCATTCAAATAGCGCAACTTGAAATCTCTAATAAAGTAAGAAGATTCAACTAACGGAGGATGCCTGAACGGTGGAGGGTCTGACATTGCTTGCGGTGGTGGCGACACTCTTCCGACCTGCAGCTGCGGAGTTGCTGTTGCTGTTGCTCTTACTGGTCTTCAACCCGAATTTACTCTTCCATAGGTCCATGTACTGCTCGTTACCGACGCAGTAGAATAGAAACATGAACAAGCCCTGTGGGGTTTTGTAGTTTAGGGTCGTAGGATGGCTGTATAGGTTGGAGCTTTAATTAACAATTATTACATGGGCTGTTCGAGAATAACCGATATCTAATCGATAATTTTAAAGCTTATATATTTTTGAATGTTATCGCATGTTCAAGTCTGGATCTTTTGAAATTGAATCTTAAGATGATTGTGATCAATTAATAATATTTCAAAATCAACCAACCTGAAGCCCGTTGATGAGGATAAAGGCAAACTGGAAATAGGGAGCTATGGGACCAACCATGAAGAAGCCAAGAATCCAACCTAGACCAAGCATACAAGATATGCTGGCAACGGCTTTCAGTTGTTTCTGAAAAAAATTGGGTTAATCATCGTGAAAAATCTAAATAAGTTCTGTAAAAAGTTTTCATGGTATCATAGAAATCTTTTTGCAGTAAAATTTGCAACCAAAATCCCTGATTTACATCTTGGTGACAGTTAGGTGTTCATAGTTTATTGGCTCGAATTTGTTATTTATTAAGCTACGCGAAAACCAAACTTAAATCCAATTCCTACCATGGTGTTTTCTGTTTTGCTTTTATCTGGATTCTTTGTATTGGCGATAACTCTCAGAAGAGTCACGAAAATGAAAAAGTTGATTCCCAGGATGACTGCAATGGGCAAGATAAAGGACCATTTTCTGACGCCGAGATCTACAACACACTTTCTAATAGGAAATTAATGTATTAGTAAGCTGAACTCAGTTTGGTTGACTGATTGCTCTCATTCCAAACAAATGAAATGCCTAAGCATTCGTTTCTACAAACATGAAACACAAAAAGTTATTGATAAACCAACGACTCGAAAAAATCAAACGTACCCGTCTTCAAGTAGTATTCCTTCCGTGAGAAAGTAGTCGGTTAAAGGGGAGAGTAGTGGTGTGATCCAGCAGAACAAGTTGAATTTCAACATGTATTTACTGATGTGACCTCCGAAAACCTGAACACGTCAAGTTAATCATTATTTAATTATTAACTATCGGTTACTAATTAGTTCTTTATTAACACTTAATTAACTATCAGGTGCTATGATGAAGGAGAAGCTGGAGCTTTCCCGAATAATTACCAATCAATTAGCAGCCGAATAAAGTTTTACCTAATAATTACCAATCAATTAGCAGCCAAATAAAGTTTTACCTGAATAATTACCAATCAATTAGCAACCAAATAAAGTTTTACCTGGACAAGACTGATGTACATAATGACACTCTCCACAAGAGTCCACATGAATACAACAAGATATGTGTAGTCCATCATAATAGCTATTCCTTTACACACAATGGGAACTGAAATTTTTACTGTTTCAATGATTAAATAAGTACATATTTTTACACAGTTTTGGGGCAAGCAACAGTTTTTGGGCTCTAAGAGAATGACTCAAATAATAATGACCGTAAATATTTGAAAAAGCAACTTACCATTTTCACTGACGATTCCATCAAGGTTGGTGAGAAGAAATATGATAATGGCAAAACACTGGGATCCCGCCAAGGACAGATGTATCTTCATGGACCGTGTAGATCTGCAGTAAAAAATAATCATTGGTTTATGGCCAAGATTTCATCTTAAAGTTATATAATCTAAATTATTGATTCGCTTTGAAGCTTACTAAGCAATACATCTGCTTTGAAGCTTAGTAAGCAATACATTAAATAGTACATAAATTATAGAATATGTTGTGAATAATTTTAGATTCCCCAGATTCTTACCTGAGTTGTTTGAACGGAAGAATAGTTCCGATCATAACGAGAAGACAAAAGAGAGAGAACGCCAGAAGGGGGGTTGTTATCTGACTCTGAATTACCTCCAGATAGTCAGGAATCGGTTCAAGAGACATCAGGATAGCAAAGCTGGTCATGTGATTGCAGGAGCAGGAAACCTGACCACCACGCGTCTTGTCGACTGAGGTTGTCGTGCATCCATCTGACTTCCACGAGTTCGTCTCTGATAATATAACAGAATGTTTAAGTGACTGGAGGAGACCTTGGAGAAAAATGCAATCGTAATTTTAAGCGTGATTAAATGTTTTCCGGTCATTAGTCATGAGAGGTGTAGTCGAGATTTCCGCATTAAACAATATAATACTGTAATTAGTAGAACTGGGCTCTTAACTTTTTGTTAATTCATTTTATAATCTAGTACCTTTATGATAGTAGACACACTTGTACTGGACATCTTGTGTCACTGGATCATAATCCTCAGGTTCATCTTTGGTGAAATTGAGAGCTAGTGGAGGATTAATGTTGCTGATAGATTTGGAGCCAAATGTGAGGAGCACTACTTTACTGACTACCTGCAAAATTATTATTGCAATCAGACAGAGAATTTTGTTAAATAAGAACCGTTAACTCATTTGCGTCTTGGAAAGGCATTTTAAACATTTATATACTCTTATTTTTCATGTGACATGTACGTATTGATTTTTCTACAATATACTGACCTTGGGCTCAACAACACCTTTTTTAGGTTTTTTAGTGCTTGTGCTGTTGTCAGCGACCTTCTTGGTAGGAAACAGAGCTGGAGTCTCAAATACTACGCAGACTAGTCCCTTGGCATCACTATTTTCTCCACCAGACGCAGTGACGAGATTGGACAGAGGGGGCATTTCCACCATGACAATCTTCTTGACAGGAGGAGGTTTCGTTGCTCGCACTATACTCAGAGCAGGGGCCGCTGTTGGAGCTGGTTCTTCACCTTCAGACTGGACAGGATCTGGAATGACCGGGGCTTCTGTTGCTGGTAGTTCTTGTTCTGCTGGTTCTTCGTTCTTCGCTCCATCAGAGATAGCATCATCCAGTTCAGTCTCTTCTTCCTCTTCCTCCTCATCATTCCCAAAGTCTAATATAACTGACTGAAATTGTATCATTTGAATTTTAATTCTTTAAAAACGTTAGATCGAACATTGATAAACAAAGACTAAAAACTGAAAGGACCCTGGATTCTTTATGAGGACCAATAAATTTCTCTACTTTTAATTTTTTGAAATCAATGGATTATGGAACAATATTTTGGTTTATGTGATAATTCTTGAATTAATTAAAAGTTTCTATCGATTGTTTGAAAAAAGTTTTGTCAAGAAAGAATTTTAAATTTAGCGTGCACACTGCACTCACTTTGGACAAAGTCTCCTCGGTCATCGGGGTAGGAAGGATCGTCATAGTGTCCGTTTTTATCTCTTTCATTTTCTTTTTCTTCGGTTTAGTTCCTCCGTTTTCGCCATCTCCTCCAGACGATGGATCTGTTGGTGTTTCAGGTTCTTCAACGGCAGCGAACATGCTTGCTCCTATCGAATTGACCACATTAACCGCCCTGAGAAAAAAGAGGTGTTACCTATTTTCAGAGGTGGGACTTTTTTCTGGCTTAATCAGTCAATCTGTCTTTCTCTTTCAACGTTAATTACGTCATTTATGGTATAAATTGTACTCACGCAGAAGCGGTTTCAGTCCCTGCATCTTGTACAAAGTCGCCGTCTTGTTCGGCGAAGCTGTTGATAGCGCCTAGAATGTTCTTCTGATTTTCGGGATTAGCCAAAACTTCTGGGGGTACAGAGTTAGCAACCACAGAGAGAGTGTTCACCACACTGGCTGTGTCAGCAGCTCCTAGTCCACCCTCCTCCTTTTCGTTTTCTTTAGCATCTGTTTGGTCAGGGTTTGTGGAGTTATTTGGATTTGTTGGATCTGGGTCGGGTTTAGTTGGATCAGGTGCGGGCGTCCCTAAGGCTCCCATCAGACCCGATAACATAGAGGTAGCTACTGATGGATCTACGGTAGCTTCTGCGGCACTTTTGCCAGAGGACTCAGCTTCTTTTATCGCCTCTCTTGCTGCTTTCTGAAATACCGATAACGTTATTCTGTGCTAAAATTGAAATGGCTGTCCTCTACAAAAGTAAAATGATTTAAACTCTGTTTCAAATATCTTTTTTGTCAATTAACTAATCAAATAACTAACCGTCTGGTTGTACAGTATTTCAGTCTTAACGGTTCCGCACTTAGCGTAGGAGGGCGTGGTCCATTCACTCTTCTGGACACCGCTCTCAAACCAGGTCTGGCACTCGCTCGTTATGTTGCTGAACACTTTCTCATCGTTCACATACAACTGAAAATCATAGGGTGGTTAATCACAAATTAAATCGTGGTGGTACTTTGAGTTAAATATGATTTTTCGATCAACTTCAACTCACTTTGCGACAAGATCGAGGGACACAATGAAATTCATTAAATTTCAGGACTCAGTCAAAATAATAATATATTTGATTTTAAGTTAAACTCACGGCGAATTCACATTTCTGTTCGTGAGCTTTTCCAGAGCCATCACCAGGAGGTTCCATTTCGGGGAATTTAAAGGTTCCATACTGATTAGTGAACTGTTGGGCCGGACAGTTGGGAATAATTGGAGGACATGAGGGTGGTTGATAAGCGGCTCTTTTAGGACAGGCAAGACATTTTTTCCCGGCCTCTTGGGGCGAGTAGAAGCCGTAGGAGCAGGCAACACAACTTGTGGAACCACCTTCAGAGGCAACTGTATCCACTTTACAAGGCGTACATTCACTGAGTCCTGAACAGAAAAACTTGTACAGAATATTAACTTGAACATCAAATCAATAATGCGCTAAAAGGTGAGGAATCAATACCTAAATAACGGAAATCAGAATACTTGGAATAAGCTCGAACCTTCTTCATCACTGAAGGATCCAGGGGGACACAACTCGCACGTCTCCTGCCCGGTTTCACTCTGGAACTTTCCTTTCTCACACTTGTCGCACTCGATTGCCTGACCGTTACTGTAGGTCCCGGTAGGACAAGGTTCGCACTCAGCAAGACCCAACTGTCCAGAGAAGAATCCTGGCTGGCATGGCTCACACACTGGCTCACTGTTGTCGGTGCTGCGGTGGGTTCCTCGCTCGCACTGTTTGCATTTCACCGAGCCTTTTTCTTCTGTTATCGTGCCCTGTGGGAGATATAACAATTGAATGCACAATTGAATGCACAACTGAGCAATATTCTGTTACTATTACTTCAAATGCAAATGAAGTTTAGGACACGGAAATTTATCGACATAAATAAATTGTCTTGTTTAAAGGTATGGGAAGAAGAGGTGTTCCTATTCCTGAGGATTAGGCTTAAAGGGGTTTAGTGGTTATCGGAAAGAAGGGAGGTCACCTCATACTGCTGCTATAATAGGGTTTATAAACTCTTAGGGCAACGTCTTTTAAGGTTCTTCAAATAGTTCTTCCTTAAGAGCTGGATGTTGGAATGGAGTATCTTCTTAGGGAAAATCAGTGCTGTGGGTCTGACGGACCGTCATGTATTGATCAGATTTATTCCATACCGCACCATTATATTTATTCATAACTTGTATTGAGTTTAACTTTTCCACTTTATGTTAATTCTTTGATTTTAATGAGCGTTTGATTTCATCAGAAGAAAGTTAACTTGGTCAAGCATGAGAACACTATGGGCTTCTGAGAATATGTTAGATTCTGTCAGGCTTTTTTCACGGAAACTTGAGTGCCCAGTCATGGGTTTTATTACTTATATGGTGAAATGGCTGATTGGTTCACTGTCAATTCAGGAATGGAACAGGGTGATATCAGGGCCCTTCCTATATTATTTTTGTTCTGAACTTTGGATCTTTTTGGCCGATGTTTCACAGGCCAATCAAGTCATGGTGCTGTACTGCAAAAGGAACTGAAGCGTGCAGATGAAAAAGTTATCATGGATAGTCACTCGCTGAATGTCGTCTCCGGCAGTGATGGACAATACTGAAGCTTCGAAGAGGGCTGCAAGAGTCCAAAGATCTTATCGATTATTACACCTATTGCTAAGATCAACGCTAAACAGCACAATGCTTGGCGATCAGCATGTTGTGCGTCCCCAGCGACCGTACATCGAACGAGAACAGTCTAAAAGTGGAAGGAGACGGTCAGTAACTGTTATCTTGGGCCAACATCAAGTGGGATGGTACCATTGGACCGACTCTTTTGACATCAGGATCCAGCGTGCTAATGGTGCGTTCCATCAGCTTGGGAAGATATGGAAAAGTAAAACTGTAAGAACTCCCACAAGATCCGTATCTACAATGGCTGCTGGTTATTACTATTCTGTTTACATGGAGCTGAAAGTTGGTACACAACAAGAAGCAGATGAAACGGTTGAGGTCTTCCATCTGACCTCCCTGAGGAGTATTCTTGTGATAAGGTGGTTTTTCCATGGTTTCCAATGATGTTGTTACTCAGGCTTGCTGGAAATTATGATCAAGTCTATGAAACTTTCATCGGTTCGACTTCGGCTAGACTAAGGTGGTACGCGACACGTTGTCAGAATGCCAGAGACACGGTTTCAAATTGTTTACTGGATTGGGAAACCAAAACTATGGATAGAGACTGGAGAGGACGGTCCCCGCAAAGGCTGGATGCCTGTGTACTCGAGATGCGGCTGACTTTACAGGTTTCGATAAAATCAGCAGTGAAGCAGTAAGGTAAAACAGTTAGCTCTAAAACGAGTGGAATGGAGGAACATGTACACGTAGATACTTCCCTTTTCGGCCTTTTGTGGAGGACAATTACTTGACGCTGGAGGCACTAGCGGTTCTTTTAATGTCCCGTTCATAATAAAGTCGTGCAAGTATGTCAGTTCCAAGTTAAGTCCGTTTGAAATTTTTCAAACATTTTTTCATTTGAACTTTTTGTCCTGATATGGACAACTTTGAATACTTAATTGGTGCCGTAAGTTAACGATGGAAAGGTTCTCCTTTGTCTGCCGGGGCACAGGAAAAACTTTACTTGTTTATGTGATATTTTCAAGGGTCACTTGGCGGAAAAAAAGTCAACGAAAATATGGCACTCAACAAAATAGTTCATGAAATAGTCCCCGCCAACATGACAAACTTGTTCAGCCTCTGTAGTCGGTGTATCGTGTTTCCAAGGACATGGTCCGACGTTGTTATAAGTTCATATTTACTCGGGGCCGTGGTCTTTGAAACAGTGTGGAAAGCTCCACTGAGTTAAGGTTAACCTAAGTTGTCTAAGATAAAACTCTTCACGCCGAATGGGCTTGTTAGTTAACACTGACCATGCAGAGACCGGGGTAGTTTGATTAAAAAAAAGGTTTCCATATAAAGCTTGGAAATCACTGATGCTTTAGCATGGACTATTTCATGCACGAAAACCCATTTGATGAAGATGTTATTGTTATATTAGACACTGATCATGTACACATATTTTAACATTTTTACTGACTCTATGACTGCTTTTCTCTACCTTTCTGTTAATAAAAAATGGATTTTTAAAAATTATTTGCTGAAATTTAAAAAACGTCAAAAAAATTGAAAAAATTCGGAATTTTGTGATGGTTTTGAATGCCTTGCGAGAGTTCACATTAATGTCCCGTTAATTATGTATGTCCGTTTCATGTAATGTCCCGTGCAAATAAGGTCGATAAAGTAGAAGAGATGTGTGTGATGCAGGCCACTCCAACGTACTAGACTAGGAGGAGACCTCTTCATGTGCATGTATGTAGTATTTCGGATAAGGGCGGTTAGTTAGTTGTCCAATTATTAGTGATGTTTATTGAATCGTTATTGCCGATTACAGCTGCCTTCGGGTAGTTCCTCTTTATCTATTTAATTGTAAATTGAATGGAAAAGCGAGGCGACCGATTTCATTTCGGTATCATTTCGCATTTGCGGACGGTCATTAAATGTTTTATCATTTCCTTTTGTTTGGGAAGAGAGACACTGCACTGGCAGCGGTCCACTCCTACCAATTTTGGGTTGTGTGTCAAATACCATCTCACTCTCAGCTCTTTTTGATTAATGTCATGGGCTACTCTTAAATCATTCGGAGGACTTCGCGCTTCGACGCGCGGGCCGGTCGCGTACTTATCATTCTTTGTCTTTCGCATTGGACGAGATCGCTGCTTGCGAATTCGCAGTACGACGGTCTGGATGGGTTGTTCACCGTTCATTCAATCAATGATAAAACTCTCGGCTCCAGTTGCGCGTGCCATGTCCTTTGAATATAAATACAACGTATGTCATTGTGATTGTCTGATAAATTTTATAAAACGCTCCCAATTGGTTATATGGCTGGATCATGGCACAATGTATCTACAAACCCCCGAATTTACGCATACCCCGATATACCGCGGCTTGTTTCCTTTTTCAAATTCCGCGGTAAATCGGGTTTACTGTATCACAAAAAAACGTGATCTCGCAAAAAAATAAACTCGAATTCATTCTACACAAATTGTTCATGTCCCTAATAGGCGTTTATTATTTATTATAGTGCCCTGCTGCTTTAACCATCGTCTTACTCCTGGGGTTGGAAAATTACGCTTTCCAAACTGCTAGTGCTAATGGGATAGTAAGCTTTGTCATGCGGGCTAACCTTGAGATGTTTTTTTTCGGATTGTAATTTATTAGTATCAATGTCCAGTGCTTGATATGCATGAGCTTCGGTGAATATGAAGCTCACCCTATCCTTGCATCCACTAAACTATAAATGATTATGTGAATATAATTTTTGTCAAGTATGAAATCTAAAATTTGTCTTTTTTGCTGCTTAATATGGGGTCAGTGATTTTCGAACCATTATTTATGAGGGACCGATTTTCGGATTTTTTGTGATCCATGGCATGCATAAAATAAATCATGACATAAGGAAACATCAAACCTGAGTTCAAAAAAGTCAATATGAAATGATAGTGATATCATACTAATTAGGGAGGCGAAGATGGAATTCCAAAAAACAATTATGCTAGGGTCCGAGATTCTCAATCTTGTATTTGGTGGATATTACCACTCCAACTGTTTTATTATAATTAGAATAGAATATACAAATAAAATTTAATTATTATTCATAAGATAGCTTTTGAATAGTTGGGGAAAGAAGAACATCACGATTTTCGATGACGTTCTATAGAGTCCAGCCTAACTGGAGCTGTGTTATAAAATTGTTAAAAACAACCGTAGAGTATTTTGACCAAGTTTTCTTACTATGTGGACATAATGCTGATGAGAGTACTGTACGAGTCTCCCAAGACTTGGTGGTCCACGATTTCAACTCTTAGTTTGCTAAGGAGCATTGTTGTCAACAATTTGATGAATCCTTGTGTAGTTTTCTTGAAGCTGTTTTGCATTGTGGCTTCTTATTCGAACTCACTGAGTGTATCAATGGAGTCTATTTGGTTTTTAAAGATTGTGCCTCTTGGTTTGTCGCTCTTCAACACTGAGGCAAGGTAAAATTAAAATTACGTGAGCAATCAGACGGTTTAGAGTTAGTGCAAGAATTGTTTTGAGTAACAGCCGGCTAAGGTTAGTGGGCTGTTACGACAACGCTAATACCCATTTTCATTGCATTTCTAACATCCAGCTAATGCCACCTCTGCCAGCTTTTTGTTTTGAAAAATCCTAGAGCCCTCTTATCGCGGCTAATAGCCCTCTCTTGCTATTTTGGGGGACAAATACCTAACAGGCCATAGCCCGGGGGGGGGGGGGGAACAAAAAAAAAAAGCCGGGGGTAAATGGCTATTTTATGGCATTTCTAAAAGCCACGAACAGCCCTTTCCACCAACCTCGTCAGCTCTTTGTTTTAAGGAAAATACCAACAGCCCTCTATCAGCCGGCTAGAAGCTGACAATTCTTGGGTTTCGTTTTGGCATATTGTATTCTATTTGCCGAATTTAAAAACTTTAAGGGGGGGGGGGGGGGGTTCACCCTGATTTTTTTCTGTTTGAAACTTGGTTGCGAGATAGCGTTGTGCAACAAAACTAGAACCAGTGGGGACCGAACTTTTGAGGGGGAGTCCCGGACCCCAACCGCCAAACGGTGCCGCGGGGCAGCAACGCCCATATTTGTCCAATTTAGGCCCAATTTTTAGCTGAATACCCTGAACATGCCCAAAAACAGATTTTTTTCACCTAAACTCTTATATTATTATTTCATCAAGATTCGGACAAAAATGACTGAGTTATGACCCATATTTGGGCATACGCACCAAATTTGATCGATATTTGGCCCCATAAATTGGTCTCAAATAATCAATAATTTTTGTATGAAAAACCAACTTTATATGGAAAGTAAGCCTATTACACATTCTCTATGTTATCAGATCAGTATCTAAATAAACTGTGGATTCTGTGTTCTAATAATAACAAATATGAACAAAATCGGCCTAACTCAAAATTCCAATACAAAACTAAGGTAGAAATGCGATTCTACGTTGATTCTGAAAAATTTCATGTAAAAATTGTAACACCCTAGGAGTGCTCTTTGTTTTGAGCGAATCAGTTTTGCCATTATATCGCGGAACTGAGATATAGGCGCTTTTGTCCACTTTTTGCGATTATTTGAACACAGAATCCACAGTTTGTTAGATACTGAGCTGATATCATAGAGAATGTGTAAGTGATGAAGGCTACCTTCCATATTTAAGTTGGTTTCATGCAAAAATATTATACGATATTTAGCCAATTTATGGGCCAAAATAGATCAAATTTGGTGGGTTATGCCAAAAATAGGGCCATATGGTTTTTTGGCTCATTAAATCAGTCATTTTTGGTCCAATCTTAATGAAAATTCATTATACGAGTTCAGGGGACCACTAGCTATTAAGTAGGCCACCTCTATTCTTGATTTTGAGGCATGTTCAGGTATTCAGCTTAATTTGGGGCCTATTTGGACCAATATATATGGGCGTTGGTGCCCGCGGTGCACCGTTTGGCGGTTGGGGTACGAGCCCCTCAAAAGTTCGGTCACCAGTCCTAGTGTGTTGGTCAACGCTATCTCGAAACAAGTTTCACAAAAAATCAGGGTGTAAACACCCCCACCCCCCCCCCATTAAGTTGTCATCAATGAGTTACACAGTTTACTGAAATTTATTGGTCGATCTGTAAGCTAGCTGCAGATTATTTTATCGCTTTCGGGTGACAAAAACAAGCTCGATATTACTTGTTACATTGTTCCAACCCACTTACCAATATTTCTTAGTCTATAATTATACGCTTGAAATAAATAATGATATTTTTATAAAAACGTTTATTATTTTCTCGTGTAATAAACTCACCTTCGACTATCTTTCGCCTAAATCGTATCTTAGGCGGCAGAGTTTTCGAGATTTTTAAACTTGAGGTGGTTTCCCTCGACAACCTGAAGTTGACGGTGGCAGCAAAGGTAAACAAATTTATGATGACCAGTTTACAAGAAACTTTTGA